CTCCTCCCCCTCCTCCCCCTCCTCCCCCTCCTCCCCCTCCAGGTTATTTGTGTGTATTTGTTTGTGTGTCCCAGGGCCCCTTCAAAATGGATCCCTCTAGCGTGTAGAAAGGAAGTTGGAACTCGGAGGTTGGTAAGCCTCCTGCCCTGCCTCTTGGAGTCGCCCGCTGGGGCCAAACGCTGTGGCCAGCACTCTTCCAGGCTGCTGACCGCGTGTGCCTCGGCCGTTGTGGAAACCCTTCGGGGAACACTTCGGGGAGGACGGCGAGGAGGACCAGGAGGAGGAGGAGGAGGAGGAGGAGGAGGAGGAGACATCTTTCGGAGGTTGATCGACCTCCTACCCTGACACGCCGATTAGCGAATTGGCCGTTTTCGGTCCGCGAGAGGGCGTCGCGGCCGTCAATCTTGCGGGTCCAGGTCCGTTGGTTTCGGTCCCAGGCCGTTTTCATTAAAGAGTGGTTTATTAAAAGGTGTGCATTGCCGAGGAGCACATGATCCTCAGTTCAGCGAGACGTCCAGCGAGCTCCCCGCTGTCAAAAAAGGGATCGCCGCATCGGTGCATGTGTTGCGCAATGTTACAGTTCGATTCATCATCTGCGAGGTAAGTCGAGAGAGAGAGAGCGAGAGAGAGAGAGAGATATAGAGAGAGAGAGCGAGAGAGAGAGAGAAGATAGAGAGAGGATATGTACCCATTTTGAACTGCCTTCCGTCCGTGAAGCTGATGCATCAGTTGACGCTTCTGGCATTCATGTTTAATCGCTTCGCCCATTCCGCCAGCCCGTATTGTGCCATCGTTGGCGTTTGCGTGCGCGTTCGTCGGCCATGCGGCGTTGTTGGTCGGCGTTGCTACGGTTGTGGGTGAGAGTCTTCACGGATGCTTTTTGGTGTCTGTTCGGAGGCGCTTTTGCGCAACAGTTTTAGGCACGTTCTGAAATTTACCGCAGGAAGGCCCGCATGAGAGATTTATGCAGTTTTCCGTTCCCATAAATTTCTTACACCGCTACCCCCATAAAAGCGGATTCTTGCGAGACGCCTCTCCGATGGAGGGCTCCGCTCGCTGGTTTGGATGGAATGCCGAAGTGCCCCTTCACAGGCGCAATCGTCTTGTTTCACCCTGCTCGCGCGCCGTCTGGCGCAAGGCTTCTGATCTGATCTGATCTGGGGGCCTGCTGGGGGCGCCTTGGATGCCTCTTAGGGCTCTCTTGGCGCCTCTTGGGGACATCTTGGACCCTTTTGAGGGGCTCTTGGGAGCCGCTTGGGAGCCTCGTGGGGCCTATTGGAGCTCCTCGGAGGCCTGGGGGGAAGCTCTGGGGGCGATTTGGAGACCCAAGGCCTAATGAGAGCTCTTCGGAGACCTGGGGGGGGGGGCTATGGGGGCGATTCTGAAGCCGAACGCTCGAAATTTCCGTTGGGGCTTCCCCTCGAGGAGTCTTCCTGAAGGTGTCTTGGGGCTCTCCAGCGCCGTCTTTGGGGGAAACTTGGGCCGCCTTGGAGTTCCCTTGGGCCGTTTTGGGGCTCTCCTGGAGGCTTAAATGGGCCGTCTTGGAGCGATATTAGGGGCTTCGTGGGCCATCTTAGAGCGTCGGCGGCCGACAAGATGAGAACGCTGAAACCCTGTAAACAACACTGGAAAGTTGTTGATTGTTGCCTCTAGGGGGCTTCTTCGGAGTGGTCTTGGAGGCACCTTCGGGCGTCTTGGAGGCGGTTCAAGCCGTCTGGAGGCTATTTGAGCATCTTGGAACGGATTCCGGTGACTCTGGGCCTTCTTACACCGCTCTGGGGGCTTCTTGAGACGGTCTTGACGGCTCTGAAGGCAGCCGCCAGGAGTTCCAGCATCCGTGACGGGGACCGCCCGGGGACCGCCTGGGACTTGCCCTGGGACCGCCCAGGATTTGCATGCAGGATTTTCAGGAGGGAAAAAAACACACAGACACAATTAATCGTCGATTCCCAAGAAAATATGGGAAAATATGGGAAGTGGGGGGGAAGACAAAAACCCAGAAAGTATGGGAAAACATGGGGAATATTTTTATTTGTGTGTATTTATTTGTGTGTCCCAGGGCCCCTTCGTATTTTTCGTCCAGGGACCCCATGGGGCAGCCACGCGCGCGCGCGAACGAGAACTACTCTAGAGCTGTTTCCGGAGATTTTAACACGCCGTTGGCCCGTTGGGCCGGCGAACTCCACGAAGTCTCGAGCGAAAACGCCATGGTGAAAACTACCCTTCCATCCTGTAAACGGCTGCTGTCTTTTGAGGCGGATGTGCGCGGCGCTGAGACGAGAGCCTCATGTTTGAAGCCACTACCTCGAACCTGTTGCAACATCGATAAAACGGATGCGCGCGACGCGAAGGGGAAGGCGCGAAGGCGGTGAAAAACGACACCTCTCCCTACTGCAAAATATTAAGATTCATGAGCGCGGCGCCAATGCGAGAGCCCTATTCGGCAAACGATCACACCTCCACCCTTGAGGCTGCTGCAAGCTTATCATACGAATGCGCGCAGCGCCAAGGCGAGAGTCCAACTTTTGAAATGAAGCGCCCTCCATGTTTGAACATGTTGCAAACTGTTTAAACACATGTGAGCGGCGCTGAGGCGAGAAACTGATTCTGAAGACGACCGCCTCCCTCTTTGAAGCTGCTGCTTTGTTTTAAGACGAATGTGTGCGGCGCTAAGGCGACAGCTCCATTTTGAAAACGACCTGCCCTTCATCCTAGAGGTTGTTCCAACTTTCCAGCTTCCAGATCATAAGCTATGAGGAAGTCTTGGGCGAAATGCCTGGCCCGCCCTACCGACACGTCTGGGGGTGCGGCAGGAGCGTGTACGTTCTGCATCGAAGACGCCTACGGCGAATCACCGCGGCCCTCTGCCTTTTGGAATCGCCTGTTTGGCCGAACGCTGTGGCCAGAGCTCTTCCAAGCTATTGCCCGTGCGCTCCCCAGCCGTTGTGGAAACCCTTCGGGGAACTTTTCGGGGAGGATGGCGTGGAAAACCATGAAGGGGAGGAGGAGGAGGAGGAGGAGGAGGAGGAGAAGGAGGAGGCATCCTGGGAGCCTCTGGGAGCACTCCTGGCGCCTCCTGCGCGCTTCCTGGGGGTCTCGTGGGGACGGCATCTTGAGGGCCTCCTCGGGCCTCTTGGTGGCGTTCGGAGGCTTCTTGGCCTCTTTGGCCGTCTTAAGACGTTCTTGGCCCGTCTGACGCCGTCGGAAGCTGTCTTGGAGGCCTCTCCGAACCGACTTGGGGCCCTCTTGGGTTGTTCCATGGCCGTCTTGGGGGCCATCTCATGCGTCTTGGAGGCCTCTTGGGTTGGCTTGGGACCTTCTTTGGGCCCTCATTGGGCCGTCTTGGGGGCCTCTTGGGCCGTTCTGGGGCCATCTTCGAGGTCTCGTGGGCAATCCTGAGGCAAGCTTACGGGGCCCTTGGGCCGTCTCGGGCCGTCGGAAGGCCGAACATCAGCAATTCACAAAGTCGCTTAACCATCTAAGAGAGATCACTGAATTTGGCCTCTTATGGCCCTCCTGGAAGACCTCTTGGAAGCCTCGTGGGCCGCCTTATTGGCCTCTTGGGTGCCCCGGGGGCCGTCTTGGTCCGTCTTGGAGGCTTCTTGGGGAAATTTGGAGGTATATTGGACTCTCTTGGGCCGTCTTGGAGGCCATCTTGGACCTTGGGTGAACTTGGGGGCGGCCATCTTGGCCGCCTTGGAGGCCATCTTGGAGGCCATCTTGGAGCCATCTGGAGCAGGGCAAACCGTTGCGACAGGGTCTGGTCGAGCTTTCTGGGTGGCCCTCTCGCAGGGCCGAAGCCTCAGGGGGAGTTCTTGGAGAAACGAACCAAGACCAACGACCCTTCTGAATCATAGCACGCCAGGCACCCCTGTGACAACGAGGGGATGGCGGATGGCCTTCGGTCCATCCCGCCACCGCGCCTGGGCTGTAGGCCACAGACTTCCTGGATGACTGTGAGGATCTCTTGGGATGCCTCTCAGATGCCTCTTGGAGGCGGTTTTGGGGGTGCCTTGGGGTGTCGTGGGGCCCGCTTGGGGTCTGATTTGGGCCTCTTTGGGGCCTCTTAAGGCCTCTTGGGGCATCTTGGGCGCACCTCGGGGGTTTCTCGGGGGACCTTGGCGACATCTTGGGACCGAGGATTTAAAACGTAAGTTCGTGTTCCCCCTCTTGGCCCCTCTCGGGGCCGTCTTGGGGGGGGGCCTCTTGGGCCCCTCTTTCTGGGGATCTTGGACCATTTTTGGGGCGATCTTGTGCGCCCCTTGGGCCTTCCCTCACGCTCTGAGACCGAAAAGGCGGTAATGCGAGCACCATACAACTACTGTTTTTACCGTTTCGGCTTCACCCTCCACGGCCGCCAAGAGGCGCCCAAGAGGGTTCCAGGACGATCTCCGGGGCCATCGGAAACCATGTTGGACATGCACGGCCCAAACGACGCGCTCTTGGCCTCTGGAAAAGTCACGCGGGGATCGCGCGGGAGCGCCCAGGAGCGCCCGGATTTCCAGGCTGTGGGCCTCCTCAAGAAGGTTTCAGACTTCAATGCAGAGAGCTCGACGGGGCATGAGGACACTCCAATTCGTGCTCTAGGACACGGTGGCGGATGACGAACATGAGGTTAAGAAAGATGAGGATGGCACTGGGTGCGCAGGAGGAGCAGGAGGAGGAGCAGTGGGAGGAGGAGGAGGAGGAGGAGGAGTGGGAGGAGGAGGAGGAGGGTGGAGGAGGAGGAGGAGGAGAGGAGGAGGAGGAGGGAGGAGAGGAGGAGGAGGAGAGCATGGGAGGAGGGGCAGTGGGAGGAGGGAGGAGGAGGAGGAGAGGAGGAGGAGGGAGAGGAGGACGAGAAGGAGGACGAGGACGGAGCAAAAGGACGGAGCATGAGGACGGGGAGGAGGAGGAGGAGGAGGAGGAGGAGGAGGGAGCAGGAGGAGGGAGCAGGAAGACGGAGCAGGAGGAGGAGGTGGCTCCATGGGTATGCCTCCGTCTGCTCGAAGCGCTCCGAGGAGAGGCCCGAGCCCGGCGAGTACCTCCCGAAGCCGCTGCGGGGTCCCAGAGGTCTGGGAACGGTTGCAAACGGGGTGTAGCGAGAAGGGAGAAGGGGAGGATGAGCTGGGTGGAAGGGCAGGGAGGCCTCCTCCTCCTCCTCCTCCTCCTCCTCCTCCTCCTCCTCCTCCTCCTCATCCTCCCTCCCCTCCCCCTCCCTCCTCCCCCAGTCCTCCTCCCCGTCCCCCTCCTCCTCCTCCCTCCTCCTCCTCCTCCTCCTCCTCCTCCTCCTCCTCCTCCTCCTCCTCCTCCCCCTCCCCCTTTCCCCTCCCCCTCCCCCTCCCCGAGGGTGGTGGTGGAGGAGTGGGAGGATGGGGAGGAAGACGAGGGAGGGGGGAGGGAGGAGGGCGGGGGGGAGGAGAGGGCGAGAAGGTGTTCGTGTCGCGAGGGCGTCTTGGGGAGGCTTCGGGGCCACTTGGTGCCACCTTTGGATGATCTTGGGGCCTCTTGGATACATGGTGGGGGCCACCTTGGGCCATCTTGCAGGCCACATATGCTATCTAGAGCTTTTTTTTGCCCAGAAGCTTCCTAATGATGCCCCCGGTATACCAACATCTGTCAAGGTTGTTCACTGATTTCAGTTTTGAGCGAAGGGGGGTCTTCATTAGCGTCCCCCCGTCGGGAGCCCTGAACATCACCTCTTGCTGCACTCGTGGGCGCTCTTGGGGTCGTCTTGGAGTCGTCTTTTTGGGCCCCCTCTTGGGGCTTGGGCAAGATGGCGCCATCTCGGAGGCTATCTTCGACCCTCTTGGGCTAGAAAGGACCTTTGATACAGGCGGCCCGGATTAGTAGGTCGACCCTGCCAGATCAAGGGTACCTTCGTCCCCTGTGTCTTGCGACCCATGCCTCCAGCATTTCTGTGGCAACGTGGCCCTCGGAAGGGTCTGGTGTCCTCTCGCGCGTCCTCTCCAATTATATGTCCGACCGCAGTTCGCGCGGGGAGGGGCCCTGACCCAGGGGAGGAGGGCGAAGGGGCGGGGCGAACCCCTCCCCGCGGGGTCCGACGGGGTCGTAAGAGCGAAGTCTCCAGGCCACCTATGCGCCCAGAGGGCCAGTGGGGACTCGGTGCGGCCGGTCCCCCCCCGGCCAGGCTCGCGCACTGCACGGTCTGGGCGGGAGGGGGCAGCAGGACGTGGTCGGGTCGGGGTGCACCGGGAGGGGAAAGGGGAGGACGAGGGCGAGGAGAGGGGGAGGGCGGGGAGGGGGGAGGGGGGAAGAGGGCGAGGAGAGGGGGAGGACGGGGTACGGTTTTAGTTTTTTTAAGAGTTCTCATTGATAGGTGTCTTAACGGGGAGGGTGTTGAGGTGGGAGGTGGTTGATGGTTTTAATAGACCGTAGGGCACAGGGAGGGGAACTCTCTTTTGAAGTAGTGGCGGCTGGGCGGAGGAGAGGAAGCGGAGGCGGAGGCAGGATGGGATGGGAGGAGGGGGAGGATGAGGGGGAGGGCGGAGGAGGAGGCAGGAGGATGAAGCATGATGAGGCGGAGGAGTCGTAGGACGGCGTTAGGGGATGCGGGCAGGAAAGCGGGGCTGGTCAGAAGCCCGGGAGGCAGGGGTCGGGGATACTGTCCTGTAGGTTTTTTCGTTTTCATTCTCCTTGTCTTACCATTTAACTTCATTCCCCTATACACTTTAACAGCCCCATCCCCGCAGACGTAGTTATGTGTAGTTTTTCAAGCTTGTACCAGGGACCTAATAGACCAGCAGGTCCAAAAGTACGCGCAGTCAGTAGTAGGGCCAGATAGCTTCATAGGCACGAGCGGGTTGTGGATAGAAGGGTTTCGTCTGAGTCTGCAGCGGGCCAGCAAACAACTAACTTTACGAGGCCCAGCTGTGCCGTGATGTCCATTGTGGTTGCCTTACGACTGGCACTAAGCTACAGAAGTGGCGATACGACACAGACGGAACGTGCCCTCTACGTGGGCAGCCCGATTTGGTGTACCCATAGGATGTGGGAATGCTCATTTTTCCAAGACCAGCGCCAAGAGCAGTCAGGTATTTTCTTAGAGGAAACCTTTGCAAAGGGACCAAATGGTCCTCTGCTCTCCAGGCTCGGGGCCCCCAGACAGAGGTTCCAGGGGCCAGTCGAGGACTGGGAGTTGCCCCACTTCGACTCTGGGGGCCTGTGCAGCGAGGGCGGTTCTGCTGCAGAGCTGCCCCATCTTCGCAGACGCTTGGCATCGCTCGGACGTGTGCATTTTTCTCTCGGTGGGGACCATCGAGGAACATCCTTGATCATTTGGCGAAAAAAACCACGCACGAAACCGAACGAAAACAGGGAATGGACGTCCGAGCGATGGCGAGAGACGGGGGCGGGCTGGACCCTGCGCGCCCAGAACTCGCGCGAGCAGGGAGCGCCGCGGTGCAGCCTGGCTCCCGACAGACGGAAGAACACTCCCTGGAACCATCGGGTCGCCACTGCCGGCTGCCCTCGCTCAAACACCCTCGGGTCGCGCCGAGCACGGAGGGCTCAGCACAGCAGTGCAAAGGTCGTCAGGGGAGGAGGAGGAGAAGGAGGAGGAGGAGGAGGAGGAGAGAGGATTGGGAGGGGGAGGAGGAGGGGGGATGGGAGTGAGGAGGAGGCGGAGGAGGAAGGAGGAGTAGGGAGGGGATGAGTAAAGGAGGAGGAGGCGGAGAAGGCGGAGGAAGGGCGAGGAGGAGGAGGAGAAAGAGGAGGATGAGGAGGAGGAGTAGTAGGAGGAGGAGGAGGATCAGGAGAAGGAACCCGAGGAGGAGGAGGAGGAGGAGGAGCAGGAGGAGGAGGAGGAGGAGGAGGAGGAGGAGGAGGAGGAGGAGGAGGAGGGCTCAGCATAGCAGTGCACTGGTCGTCAGAGGAGGATACCTCTGCCCTTCCCTCGTTTTCCCCTTTTCGGGCCTCTTGCGCGGCCCTCGTCGCCACCGCTGGATGCGCTCCGAAGTCCTGGTCGGAACGCACCCCAGGAGGTCCGGGGAGCAGCGGTATCGGTGCCTCTTGGTCTCCCCAGGTCGAACCATCCGCGGTCCGCCGGGCTGCTTCAAGGGCTGAAGCCCAAGCAAGGCTCAGACGGCCTTTCCATTCTTGGAGGACTCTGGAGAGGAATCGCCAGGCATCTGGGCCCGAGCGATTGGCCAAGACTGGAGAAAGCCAAAGCCCACCGCGAGGTGGCGGAGGCGGTTTCCGAAGACGACGAGCTTCATATTTCAGGTAACGAGGCTGCCGGTTGGCCTGCTGGTCAAGTAGCGCGGTCCAACAAACTTGGAGACAACGAGGCCCAGGAGCATGGGGCCAGTTCTGATGTTTACCAAGCTCTCCTGCCAGGCGTGGGGCGAACTCTCAACCTTTACCCGCGGTGGGAAGAGCTACACGGGCCCCTAGCTCGGAGAGCTAAGGGGCGTGCGCCAAAAGCCTTGTGCTCGGCACACCAGCCAGCTTGGTCTGGTTCCACTAACAGGTTCGAGAGGTGTTTCGCGGCAGTTAGCCCTAAGACTGCCGCGCATTGCCAGGCTCAACCACAGAGCCTGCGGGACACTTTGACGCAGGCCAGGGCTCTGGGGCGTACCTTTCAAATCGGTTGGATCGTCGATTCAAATGTGCCCATCCTCTTCTGCTCCACGTGCGGTGGAATTCGCTACCGGTGCGAGTCTAGGACAAAAAGTTTACCAGCCCTGACGGCTGCAGCAGGGAGGCGTCCTCCAAGCTGCGCAAGCTCAGGAGATACCGGGTCCCTGGGACTGCACTTCGTTTTCGAGGAGTGTCTGCACGAACGAGATGGGCACGGAAAGAGTGGGTACGATGCCCAACAGCAGTTCCTGTTCATTTTGAACAGGACTCGTTGTCCGCGCCGCCGCGGCCTGTGTCCATTCGAGACAGCAGGCCGCCTGCCCAACAGCGGCCGCTGTTGGTTTGGGACAACATTTGTTGTTGGGCATTGTGCCCATTCTTTCTGTGCCCATTTCGGGCGTCCAAAGAGTGGGCCCAGTCTGAGAAGGGGGGAGGTGATGGCGTAAGGGGGCTGGAGGTGAGGATTCTTGTGCAGCTAAGGAGCGCCTTTTGTACAACCTGCTACCTCCCGTGCGCCCTGCAGCCTCTCGAGCCAGAACATTATGCTCATCCTCCTCTCTTGCTTCGGGGACGGTCGGGCTTACATCCTGCGTGCAGACAACAAAAAATTGCACCGCGGCCTCAGATCGGCGGCGAGCGAAGGGGGGAAGTGAGAAGGGGCGGGCCTCTTCAGAAGTCTCGGGAGTTCCGCAGCCTTCTGAGAAGTTTTTTTTGGGCCTTCCCCGAAGACAGACAAAAAGACTGCTCAGAAGGCGCGAGGGTTTCTGAGAAGTCCCGCCGCCTTCTGAGAAGGCCTTCTCCTTCTCGTTTCCCCCCTCTTCGCCGGCCGCCTGTGAGAGTCGAAACGGTGTACGGCTTCGGCTTTTTGTATTCCCCGAATTTCTTTTAAGTCGTTGGAACGCCGCTTGTGGCTTACAGACTGTCGGTGAGGAACAAAGCCAAGGGCTCCCTCGAGGGCGCGAAGTTATTCGCGCTTCGCGCTTCGCGGTCCTCGTTCCTTCTCCCCCTCCTCCTCGTCCTCCTAGTCTCCCTTTGGGAGGGCGGCGCGAGAGCGCGAAGTTATTCGCGCTTCGCGCTTCGCGCAGCGCGAAGCGCGAAGTTGGGAGCCCTAGCAAAGCCCGGTTCAAATGCGACCGACCCTCTTAATGACGGGACCATCTCTCTCTCTCTCTCTTTCCCTGTCTCTCTCCTCTTTCCGTCCAGGTTGGAGTTAGGTAGTCTCGGCTGCTGCTGCTGCTCGCCCTTGGACTTATGTCGCTGTCGTAGAGGAGGAGGAGGAAGAAGAAGAGGCGCCGAGGGAGCTGAATGCCTCGCCCCTCAGCCATTGCCTTTCTTCGCGCGACGTCGCCCCCTCCTTCTCCTCCGCCTCCTCCCACCCGCGTGCAAATGAGGGATAAGGGATGCGAGGGAGGAGGAGGAGGAGGAGGGGGATTGCGAGGGGGAGGAGGAGGAGGAGGAGGAGGAGGAGGAGGAGGAGGAGGAAGGGGAGGAAGGGGAGGAGGAGGAATAATTAATAATAATAAAAACAATGATGATAATAATAATAATAAGATTATAATAATAATATAAAGAAATAGAATAATAATAATAATAATAATTTAGAGAAGACGAAATAAGAATAAGAAATATAATAAGAAAAATAATAATAATAAGAATAATAAGAAGAGTCAGGAGGAGGAGGAGGAGGAGAGAGGAGGAGGAGGTGGGGGAGAGGTGGAGGAGACATCTCCAGCTCAAGGGGGGGGCAGCATTCGACTGCCTCCACGGTCATATCTTCGTGCGTGCCCACATCGCGCAGTGCAGTTCGAGCTCCTGCTCCTAGCCTCTGCGTCGGCGCCGCCGGCCGCGACCAGCGGCCCCCCAGTGCACACAAGAGGCGGTGCCGCTGTCCTGCAGAGGGCGCGCCTCTGGCGAGGGGGTCCGCTGCGTGCAGTAAAACGACGCGAAGATCGGGACAACATCGGACCGCGATAGCTCGAAATATCTTAGAGTCGGCGGGTTTGGAGGATGTATGGGCGCCGCGGCCGCTCCAGAGCGTTCCGGAACGCTCTGAGAGCGCTCGAACCTGCATCTGGACGATTTGTCACGATCCTAGCCCGGCCCTGTTTTATCCGCTGCGTGCAGGCTTTTCCGCTGGGACTGGCGAGAACGGCCGCGGGTCCGCGTTCAGTCGGGCGGTTACGGATGCGTCCAGCGCCGCAGAGCGTTGCCACAGTCGGTTCGATGAGGACTCCGCGTTCCTGGTCAGTATCGTTTACCCAGCCCCCATCCCCATCCCCATCCCCTTCGAGACCCACACCAAATTACGGCCCCAGTTGGGGATACACCCGTCGAAGCCCGAAGGGAGCGGCCTATATCCCCATCGAGGGGGGTAAATCGGCCAGTGGGGCCCCGGCCACACCGCTGGGGATGGGGATCGGTTAGACGATGCTCAATTCAGGCGGTTACGGATGCGTCCAGCGCCGCAGAGCGTTGCCACAGTCGGTTCGATGAGGACTCCGCGTTCCTGGTCAGTATCGTTTACCCAGCCCCCATCCCCATCCCCATCCCCTTCGAGACCCACACCAAATTACGGCCCCAGTTGGGGATACACCCGTCGAAGCCCGAAGGGAGCGGCCTATATCCCCATCGAGGGGGGTAAATCGGCCAGTGGGGCCCCGGCCACACCGCTGGGGATGGGGATCGGTTAGACGATGCTCAATTCAGGCGGTTGTGGATGCGTCCAGCGCCGCAGAGCGTTGCCACAGTCGGTTCGATGAGGGCTCCGCGTTCCCAGCGGGGGACGCAGCCTGACGACAGCCAGGAGTGTTGGCGGAGGTCGTGGGCTCTTGGCGAGAGCGACTGGGCTCTCGAGGGCGGCAAGCAAGGCCGGTCGGTGGCCTGCGGACAGGGGTTCGCGGAGGCACTGAGTTTACCGCAGCACTGCTCTGGCAAAAAACGTATGGAGTGCCCATTGTCGTGGGACGCCATGGTTGCCTACGAAGCGATCAAGCCGTCTGTGTGGAGCCCCGTTTGCGGATCCCCATTCGAGTAGAACCCCACGGGGAGGCCGAGGCCCAGCAGACAACGGAAAGAACGCTGGGGACACGGCCAGCAGAGCGGGACGTCATGTGGACGATGTGGCAGGCCAAGCCATAGGAGGTCTTTTGGGAAGCCTCAAGAGGATAAGAGGCCAAGCCGCAGGAAGCCAACAGAGGCCAGGTACACACGTCCCGAACCCAGGATACAGCGCCCGTGGGGCGGGAATCCGCTTGGAACCCTTAGGGGAAGCCGAGCAGCCACGGCCAGACCTCTGGACACTGTGCTTTTGGGGCCCGACGCCAAGCGAGGGAGAGCTTTGAAGCGCAAGCACCGCGAATGCCTTAGGGAAGCTCGCTGGACGCCACCGGAGACCAGGGAGAGGCCAGCCGCTCACCGGCCGACCCCGGGAGCCAGGGCCAGCTCCAAGGCAAGCACGAATCCCAGATTCTTCAGTCCGAGCGTTGCTGAGGGCAAGGACCGCGGCGAGCATTTTACGCCCCACGCGAAGGAGGAGGGAAGAGGAGGAGGAGGAGGAGGAGGAGGAGGAGGAGGAGGAGGAGGAGGAGGAGGAGGAGGAGGAGGAGGAGGAGAGAGGGAAGAGGAGGAGTATTACGAGGAGGAGGAGGAGGAGGAGGAGGAGGAGGAGGAGAAGGAGAAGGAGGAGGAGGAGGAGAGGTGAAAGGAGGATGGGAGGAGCAGGAGGACGAAGTTGGGGAGGGAAGAGGTCCTTCCTCTTGATCCCTCTCCCTCCTTCCTCACTTCGCCATGTTGCCTTTTTGCGTTAGCCCGGCACCTTTTGTGATAGCCGTTCGTGCGACGTCAAGTCCGTCCGTTCAGGCGATCGGTCGACTGATGTGTGGTTCCCCACGTCATCGGCACAGGTTGGCGCCATTCCGATCTTGCACTCGAGTCTCCTCCCTGCTTTCAAGGCCGGAACTGTTCAGTGAGCTTGCCAGGGCGATGGCAGGGGGGAGGTAACAAACGTGGGGGGATCGAAGATTGCAGGAAAGTGGGCCTAGTAAAGGGGCCCTACACGGTCCCAAGACTGCCACCGCGGGTTCAAAAGGTGTACGATTAAGTGGGGCCTGTCCCTCTGCAGGAGGGATATTCAAAAACAGTAAAACATAGTCTGAGGATGACTTTGTTTTTACTATGTTTGACCATTTTGAGTTGTTGTTCGAGTATGTTGCATTTTTCACCCAAAATCCCCCTGTAGGGGGACAGGCCCGACCTCAGTGTACGAAAGGCGCACGCTTCTTCCCCCACACTGGACGCCCCCCCCCCGTGAACGACCACACGACCGACCTGCGCACGTGCTCGTGCGCCCCTTTCCCCTGGCCCGACGCCTCTCCGTCGGAGTCGGTCGCGGCGTCCCCTCTGGCAGCTCTCTTGCCGTGGTGCTCGCGTGTGCGCCACCGTTTTCCGAGGCCCCCGATTCAGTCGAGCACGCCTCCTCCTCCTCCTCCTCCTCCTCCTCGTCCTCCTCCTCCTAAGCCGCCCCTGCTGCGAGCAGGTGGCGCGGCGAAGGTCACCTCCAAGTACCCAGCGCTGGAGCCGCTCAAGGCGGCGCCACCTGGGCAGGACCCGGCATCACCGGGGGGCGGCTCTTGCCCCTGCCCCTGCCCCTCCTCGACAACTACTCAATATGAAAATGCTCTCCCTCTTCCCCTGATGGCGTCCGGGTGATGGCCGCGCACCCTCCGCGTACCGTTTGCTTACACGCAGGATGCCCGGGAAATCCCGGGAAACGACTCTCGCTGAGGCGCCGGCGTCATTTTTTCCCAAAATGTTGCTCTCGTTGAGGCGCCGGCCTCATTTCTGCTCCCGAATCGTTCCGAATCGTGCTCCCGCTGCAGCGTGGGCCTCATTTTCGGATCGGTGTTTGGCCTCCGTCGTTCAGGATGGCGTTCTCGCCCCAGCGCGGGCCTTTTTCTCGCGCGCCCATCCGCCCGCCACCACCGCGCCGCACCGCCACCACCACCACCACCACCACCACCACCACCACCACCACCACCACCACCACCACCACCCACCACCAGCACCAGCACCAGTACAAACACCACCACCACCACCACCACCACCACCACCACCACCACCACCACACACCACCACCACCCCACACCACCACCACCACCACCACCACCACCACCACCACCACGACAACCACGCACACACGCACGCACGCACGCACGTGCACCACCACCCACTACGCACGCGCGCGCGGAGCCACAGGTCCGCTACGACACGCGTCCGCGGATAGAGAAAATCAGCGCCATGGTAAGGGATGGGCGGGAGGGGTAGGACGTCAGATATGACGCGAGCGCACCTAGCTTGTCCTCCAGCCCCTCTCCTCCGCCCACGCTCCTCTCCCGCCTGCCCTTCCCCTTCCTTCGCCGCCCTCCCCTCTCAGCCCGCGTCGTCCTCCTTCTCCTCTCCCGCCCTCCTCGTTCTCCTCCCCGTCCGCGTCCTCTGCCCAAGCTTGACCACCGTAGCCTCCCGCATTGTCTCGCCCGCATCCTCCATCTCCTATTCTTCGTCCTCCTCTTCTTCTTCCTCCTCCTCCTCCTCCTGCCCTCTCCTCCGTCCGCGACGATGGTGATGGCCATAGTGGGTGGTGGTGATGATGCTGCTGCTGATGACGGAGTCGCTCCTGGCGCGTGTCAAAGCCGCCGCTGAGGCATGAGAGACTCGCGCGTGGATCTGGACGGCGGGCCGCAGATGCGCCTGCACCGCGCCACGCCAGATGCACGGGCCTTCGCTCTCCTCGACACCTCGCGCTTCGCGTCGGCGCCCGTGCTGCGGTCAGCTGGTCAGCTCTGCCGACAGCGCCTGAGTGCTTCGCCCCGAAGCCCGCGCGTCACTCGACTCCGCTCCTCACTGTCGGGGGGTGCGAACTATACCTACACCGATCCTGGCCAGGCCAATCGTTGGCCCAGGATCGCTGCTTTTCCCTTTGGGGATGGGCCCCGGCCAGGATCGGTGCAGGGGGTGTGGTTGGCGCCCTTCTAGGTTAGACCGCCCTGGCCGCAGCCCCAGCGCAGCACTCCTGTCCGCCTCCACAGCGTAGGCGGGGGCCCCCGAATGCACGGCGCGGCCGCTCCGCACGCCCGCGGCAGCGCACCTGCAGGCGACAGCCAGCCCCTCGCGGCCGCGGGCCGCTCGTGGCCCCCCTCCCGCGGCCCTCGGGCCTGGCCGCGGGGGGAGCCGTCCCTGGCGCGGCGGCTGCCCCCGGGCCGTGGCCTCGCGCCGCGCAGCGGTGCTGCTGCCTGGGTCGCTGCCGTGCTCCTCCTCGTCGCGCCTGGGCGGGCCGGGCAGCAGGCCAGCGCCACGGGGCGTCCGCGTCGCCAGGGGCCGGCTGAGAGGGGGAATAGGAGGAGGAGGAGGAGGAGGAGGAGGAGGAGGAGGAGGAGGAGGTGAGGAGGAGGAGGAGGAGGAGGAGGAGAAAGAGGAAGAAGAAAAAAAAGAAGAAGACGAAGAAGAAGAATAATAAGCAGAAGCAGAATCAGAAGCAGAAGCAGACGCAGAAGCAGAAGCAGAAGCACAGAAAAAGCAAAACATAAACATAATACTAATAATAGTAATCATAATAATAAGAAGAAGACGCATACTAACAATAATAACAATAAGCATAATAAGCATAATCAGCATAATAAGCATACTAATCATAATAATAAGCATACTGAGCAGAATAAACATAATAATAATAATGATAATAATGATAATGATGATAATAATAATACTAATACTAATAATACTAATAATACTAATATTAATAATAATACTAATAATAATAATACTATAATAATAACAATACGAATTTGAAGAATACTAATAAGAATTAAGAAGAGGAGGAGGAGGAGGAGGAGGAGGAGGAGGAGGAGGAGGAGGAGGTGGGGGAGGGGGGGAGGAGGGGGAGGAGGGGAGGAGGGGGATCAGATCCGGCGCCTAACGGGGCCGCTGTCCACTTCGTCAGGCGGCCTCCTCCGCGCAGCCGGGCTTGCTGCGGTGCTCGGCCCGCTCTCTGGGCTGCGGCTCCTCCTGCTCGTCCTCGGCCTCGTCGTCGAGTTCCGCCCGGCGCTCCAGGTGCCTCCCGCGGCGCGGCCGCCCTGACGAGCGCCTCGCGCCCCGCGCCGCGGCATTGCCACGCCGCCTTCGGCAGAGACTCCGCGATGGGGGCGCTCGCATCCTGAGGGTTTGGCGGTCTCCAGCGCCGTGGCTCGGCACGGACGAAATTTGTGTCGCTGTCGGTGGCGCCGCGGCCTGCTGTACATTTGAGACAGAAGGCCGCCTGCACAACAGCGGCCGCTGTTGACGTGGGACAACATGTGTTGTTGGGCATTGTGCCCATTTTTGTCCGTACCCAGTTCGGGCGTCCAAAGTCACTCCCCAGACATGCGACGTCCTCATTTTTTCAGGACGGGGTCCCTGGAAGTCCCGGTTTTTCATCCTGAGTAGTTTCGTTGACGGTCCGGAGGCCCCCGGCGAGGGCCCCACGAGGCCGAAAATGGCAAAACATTTCCCGTTTTGATTCTTTCACGACGCGATCGTGTCTGGGCCTAGGAAGGGCACACGGCACGAGGAACAGCCCACTTCCGGGAGGTCCGCGCGGGCCCTCGGGTCGGCTCTGGGCCTCCCTCCCGGGCGCCGCGGGGCGTGCGGTGCAGGGGTGGCGCTGGAGGCGGGGAAGGGGGGGGGAGGGGGAGGGGGAGGAGGAGGAGGAGGAGGAGGAGGAGGAGGAGGAGGAGGAGGAGGAGGAGGAGGAGGAGGAGGAGAAGGAGGAGGCGGAGGAGGAAGACGATGATGATGAGGAGGAGGAGGAGGAGGAGGAGGAGGAGGAGGACGAGGAGTAGGAGGAGTGGGAGCAGGAGGAGGAGGACGAGGACGAGGACGCCGCCTCCAGGTGGTCCGGCGCCGACGCAGGACATCCGCGCGGATCTGCGAAAGGTTATATTTGTGTCGCGATGCGGTCCTCTGCAGGACCCAGACATGATCGCGTCGTTAAAAAATCAGGACGGCGGGTTTTCGTCCGTTTTCGGCCTCGTGGGGCCCTCGCCGGGCCTCGGGACCGTCAAAAAACGACTCAGCATGAAAAGCCGGTCCCGGGGGAAGGTTCGGGACTTCCGGGGACGCCGCCCTGAAAAATCAGGACGTCGCATGTCTGGGGAGGAGGCTTTTGAAGTAGTCTAAAAATAGTCTAGGGGGGAGGGAAATCCGCCTGTAGGGGGACATGCCCGACCTGACTCTAGTGATGCTTCTCCACCGCCGTGGCCGCCTCCGCGGCGACAGGTCGCGGTGCTGGCCTCCAGCGGGTCGGAGGCCGCCTGTCTGGGTTCTTGACCCCGACCTCGTTCACGTGCTTGATGCGCGTCTCCACCTTGCCACTGAAGTGCAAGCGGACCTGAACATCCCCGACGCACTCGGGCTCCTCTCCAAGGCACTGCCCGCGGCGCACACCAACAGGCGACCCTCGGGCTCGACCAGCCAGCCGTGGATTCGGACGCCCCCGACGAGCTCCTCGCAGAAGCGGCGGCTGGCGAAGCGGCCCATCGAGATCTGGCACGCTCCCCCGGCGAACACCCAGACCCACCCGCAGACGGCCCCTTCCGCGCGCGAACGGTTGGCGTCCCCGGCGCACTGGGGAAGGGCGGCACCGCCAGCTGCCCGGTGCCCGCCGCGCGCTCGCCGGCCGCGGCGGCGTGCGCGCGCCGCCGGCGCCCGCCGAGCCCCGCTGCCCGATCCCCGCGGCCTGCGCGTCGTGCTGCCGAGAGCCTGCTCGCCCGCCCCGCGGCGGCCACCCGCCGCCACCGTGCGCCGCCGCGGAGTGGGCGCGCCCTGGCGCAACTGGGCCCCGACCGTGTCCACGAGTGGCCGCGGAAACCCTTGCTGCAGCGAGCCCCTTGATCGAGCCACCACTCCTGCGGCATTGCCGCGCTCGCCGCCATCCTGGGGGGTGCGCCGCAACAGCTGGCATTGCGCCTCCGGCCGCCCCAGCCGCGGGCTTGCCACCACCATGGGGGCCGCACGCGAGGCTGCGCGCGAACCGCCCCCCCGCGGGGGATCCCCACCGTGCGCCAGGCCGCCTCCGAGGGCCGCGGGCGAGGTAGACCCTGCGCCGCGAGCTGGAGGCGTGGGCCGCGCGGCTGCCTCGCGGTCCCTGCCAGGCGCCTGGGCCGCGCCGCGCAGCGCGGCGAGCTGCCGAGGCACAGCCCGCAGCGCGCTGGACCACCCGTGCGGCTGGCGGGTCCGAGGCAATCAGCCCCTCCGCCCTCGCGCTCCGAGGCGCCGCTGGGTTGCGCGCCTCGCCCTCCTGCTCCAGGGGCGCTCGGTCGCCACTTGGGCGCCGAGGAGGGAGCGCGAGACATGAGGGAAAGAGGCAGGGGCTTGAGCCAAGGTGGGTACTGACGATGAGGGTGGTGATGTTGATGGTGGTGGTGATGATGATGTTGGCTGTGGTGGATGATCCTTGCGCTGGGAACGTCGATAATGATGATGATGATGATGATGATGATGATGATGATGATGATGATGATGATGATGATGATGATGATGATGATGATGATGGTGATGGTGATGGTGATGGTGATGGTGATGGTGATGGTGATGGTGATGGTGATGGTGATGGTGATGGTGATGGTGATGGTGATGATCATGATCATCATGATGATGATGATGATGACGACGACGACGACGACGACGGTGGCGGCGGCGACGACGACGACGGCGACGACGATGATGCTGCTGATGATGATGTTGCTGATGATGATGACGATGCTGCTGCTGTTGATGCTGGTCATGGTGATGATGATGCTGATGCTGATGAGTGATGATGATGCAGACGATGATGATTGTGGTGGTGGTGATGATGCTTCTGCTGATGATGATCATAGAAGATATGCCGATGCTGATGATGATGATGCTGGTGATCATGCTGCTGATGATGATGCTGATACTGATGCTGATGCTGATGCTGATGCTGATGCTTATGCTGCTAGTTATGATGCTGATGCTGCTGATGCTGCTGTTGCTGCTGATGATGATGATGATGATGATGATGATGGTCATCGTGATGATGATCTTGATGGTTAATGGTGATAGTGTGATGGTGATGGTGACGATGGTGGTGATGGTAATGGTGATGGTGACGATGGTGGTGGTGATGGTGAAGGTGATAGTGATGACGATGATGACGATGCCGCTTAGGATGAGGATGATGATGCTGATGATGATACTGATGTTGATGCTGCTGATGATGATGAAGGCGACGACGACGATGATGATGTTGCTGATGCAGACGATGAAGATGCTGTTGATAATGATGAGTATGATGAATACCTTTATGCTTATTTAATGCTGACGGTGCGGTTCATGATGATGAAATTGATGATGATGATGATGTTGATGATGATGATGGTGGTGATGATGATGATGCTGTCGATACGGATGTTTGTTGTGCTGACGATGTTATTGTTGTTGCTGGCGATGACGATAATAGTGAAGATGCGTATGGTGCTGATGATAGTGATTGTTGTAGTGTCGATCGTGACGGTGCTGATGCTCGTGATGATGGTGATGATGGCGGCGACGACGACGACGACGACGATGATGATGATGATGCTGGAGACAATGCTAATGCTGCTGCTGCTGATGGTGATGGCGACGGCGATGATGACAGATGTTGTTGATGATGTTGATGTTGATGATTATGGCGATGGTGAGGAGGCTGAGGAAGAGGAGGCGGATTCGGAGGCGGAGGAGAGGACGGGGGCCGATGCGGAGCACTGGTTGCAGGAGCAGGAGGGAGGATACATCTACAGATGCAGAACTATCAACGGTGCAAATCGGCATTGCTAACATGAGGCGCAATGGACCAACGCCCCTGCATCAAGGAACAGGTCTTTGAAATGCATGCTGTTTCGTCCTTCCATCCTCATGTCCCCCCGCCACCCGCCGCCCTCAAGGTGGACCAGGAGGGAGGAGGGATGATGTGGATGACGAGGGGGACGAGGATCAGGGTTCAGCTCCAGGGGCAGAGAAAGGGGGAGGTTCTCCTTCTGATCGCTTCCACTTCGGACACACCCGTCCCCATACCCCTTATCCTGTCTCTGAGCTGCACTTCCGGTTGGCTCGAGGACCCTGGCGCGTACCAGGCCGAGGCGTCGAAGAACCACTCGTTGCTCAGGCGGCCGTGCGTTTGCCGACTTCATTCGGACGACCACTGTCCGTGTGCATGGTGTGCGTCCGCACGCGTATGTATACATGTATAGAACCCGAGCGAGCACGCGCGCGCGCGCGTGTGTGTGTGTGCGTGTGTGTGTGTGTGTGTGTGTGTGTGTGTATGTGTGTGCGTGTGTGCGTGTGTGTGTGTGTGTGTGTGTGTGCGTGCGTGCGTGCGTGCGTGCGTGCGTGCGTGCGTGCGTGTTGTGTACGCGCGTGTGCTGGTGCGCGCGCGTATGCATGAATACGGGGTGTCCGCGGTGTGTAACCGCTGAGGTACGCACTCAAACGAGCAACGCGAGCAGACAATCAAATCATTGAGGCAAGCACACGCGACAGCAATCCTCTTTGAAATATGATCGTCAGCGTTGATGTACGTCGATTGTAAGATCGTCCTGGTTCTTGCGTCTTGTGCGAGGGCGTTCCTCTTTGGAAGGGATGTCGTTAGACATGCATCGTGGACACGTCTTCGTGTGATAGCTGTTTTTTTGTTGGAGTGGGGGTGGGGTCGAAGGACTTGCGTTTAGGCATCACTGGTATGTGCATTTCGACTTGCATGTTGATTACCGTTGGGTGTGCATTTCGATTGCACTTTGATTGATGTGGATTTCGATCTGTCTTCATTTTGCACTTAGAGCTGCATTCCGATACGTATTCCAGTTGCATTTCCGTTTGCATGTATGTCCGCATTCCGATCATTCCGATCGGCATCCATAATGTTTTGTTTTCCGATGTACATTCAGTGTTTGTTTAGCATGTCGAAGTGTACCTCAACATACATTGGACATGCATTCTGATTTGGATCATCATTGAAATTCCTATTCACCTGGTGACTGGTATTCAGAGTGCAATTGGATTTGCATGTCGGTTTGAGTTTTGGTTTGCGCTGCGATTGGCTTGTCTATCTGCATTTCGATTTACACTTCGGCGTGCGATTCGTTTTGCATGTCGATTTGCGTATAGCTTGCATTGAGTCGCACGTCGATGTGCATCCCCCACGGTACAACCACGGGGCAACCCGGGGGACAGCCGACGGGGCAACACACGAGACAATCATTAGATATCCCGCGGGCCAACCGCGGTACAACACCCACTTGACAGCCCACATGACAAATCACGTGACAACCGCGGGACAACCACGGGACAAACATGGGACAACCATGCGACAGCTACGGCGAGGAGCCGCGCAATTCGAGAGGGAAATTGTATGACTTGGTCCCAACTAGACCAGCGCAGCGTCGCCTTCGCGAAGATTTGCGTCGCCCGCACGCACGCGCGACACGAGCTGAAGCCGAAGCCGATTTCCTGGTGAGGGTCGCTTCGCTCTCCCCCCGAACTTCAGACGTAAACCGAACTTGAAGAACGAACCGAGCTCCCTCACGCGATGCCACGCAAGCGTATCGAGAACGACATCGCGGCGACCATGACAGCGGACACCAACCTACAGATGCTTACGTAAAGGACCGGCCAGAGACAGGAGTGGACTTCGGATGGGTGGGGAAACCAACGACGTGGCAACCATCGGAACAACCGTCTTCATCCATCGACCGATGCGTCTATCGGTCTGTCTATCTGTTTTGATATAGCAATGTTCACGGTATGTTCTTCGATTTCACCATCCATCTATCGATCTCACGATCTAACCATAGACCGATCCCAATTTCACGTATCAGCCGATTTCACTAGGTTTGCCACCGTGGACCCCAGACTGTGTGTGTGTGTTGGTAATATAATTATACTTATATATAATATATATATATATATATATACATATGGTGTTATCGATGTGTCGCAACCTATGTGTTGCAATTAATTTATGTTCGCAGTGCGTTGTCCACCCACTCCACTGCTCGCGCAATCATCCCACCCGCAACGTGGCTTGTCCAAACCCATGCGGCGGCGATTGCGATGAGAGGTTGGTGTTGGCTGGTGCATCTCTGCGGCCGCGATGGCGTTGATCGGTGGGCACTTCCCAACAGGCATTTCAGTACGAGTCGGCGGCTTGGGCGGGCGCTCTATGATGGCAACGTCGACAACGGTATACGCGATGATGATAATAGCGATGCTGGTGGCGATGGTGACAAGGGCGACGGCAGGGCCCATGACGGCACCGATGCTGATCACGCCGACGACGATGACGGCGCCTTCGCTTCTGTGATGACGGTTGTGGAGGGAGTTCGACATGTGCGCGCGGCCGGAACGCGTGAGTGGCCCGTATGGTTTTATTTGGCACGAATCGTGTCCCTCCCCAGCACGCGCGCAAATGCGTTCGAATGATTTCAACGCGCGGCGCGAAGGGCCCGCTTGGTCGAATTTAATGAACACGTTGAAAAAAGAACAGCGACTTCCTCAACACATCCATGTTGTGAAACCGTGTGTTTTATATGTCTTCGGGACACTCTATTTTGAACTCTTCTACGAAATCCATGGTTTGTTTGAAGGATTTGGGCATGTGCGCGCGACGACGCGCGCGTGCACATCGTCACATTTGTTGCAGTGGATTATTGCGACAGCACGTGTGCAAGGACGTTCTTGCGATTCCGACATGCGCGCGCGAAAGTGGTTGCATGTTATGAAAACGTGGGAAAGCTATGGAATGTCGGGAGAACTTGCAGGAGCGCGGGCACAGGTTTTGTTGTTTAACATTTTTTATGAAACCATGTGTATCATATTTTCGGCACGCTCGATATTGAAATCCTCACGACGTCTAGCGTTCCTGTAGAATTCCGCCATGCGTTCGCGACGGCGTGCGCGTGCACATGTTTTGTTGCGGTGGGGGTTTGGGAAATTGACGAGTTGTGACAAACGAATGCGCGCGTCTAGTGTTCTATGTTACAGAGGATGAAGGGCGGGGAGGATGCTGGTTTATATGTGGTGACTTGGGTTCACATGTAAGATGGGCGATGGGGCGGCATCGTGCGTCAGTGGCAACCCGAGAAAAAGGGCCCGCTAAGTCCGGGGGGGGGGGTCCATCCCAATACTTTTTTAGGTAAAACGAACTTTCTGGGACAATCTATGCGGTGCAATCTCTGCGGCGCACATGTTTTCTGTTCGAAGAGCGTCGTCGACTCCACTGCTCGCGCAACCGCCCCGCCCGCCCGCCCGCAACTTGGCCTGCGAAGCCCGCGCGGCGGCGGTCGCGGCGAGTGCGCTTCTGCGGCCGCGCGTGCTCGCGCATGCTCGCGCGCGAAGCGGCCGGCCGGTTCGGCGCGACCGACGCGGCCGCGGTGGCGTTGACCGGCGGGCGCTTCCCAGCGGGCCGTTCAGTGTGAGTCGGCGACGCGGGCGGGCGCATCACCGCGGCGACGTCGACGGCGGTAGGCGCGATTGCGGTAGCGGCGTTGCCGGCGACAACGACGGCGCCGACGACGGCTGGGCCAGTGGCGGCGCCGATGCTGATCGCGCCGACGACGATGACGGCGTCCTCGCGTTGGCGATGAAGGTATAGGAAGGAGTCCAGCATGCGCGCGCGGCCGACGCGCGAGAGCAGCCCGCGCGGTTTTGCTGGGCGCGGATCGTGGCACTGCCCCATCGCGAGCGCAAGGGCCGTCGAACAATGGCGACGCGCGGCGCGAGGGGCCCGCTTGAATGAATTCTGTGAAAATGTATGAAAATGCATGGCTTCCAGAAAAAATCGCAGGGGCGCGAGCGCCGGCTGTTTTGGAAGCGGACCTTGCAGAGCCATGCGTTTTCGCGCGTTTGCGGGGCACTCGATTTTGAAATCCGCGCGAAGCCAAAAAGTTGGTTCGGCGAATTGCGGCGCGCGCGCGACAGCGCGCGCGGGCGACCTTCGCCCCGTGCGCGGCAAGGGCGCGGGGCGAAGGTCGCTTGAGACTGCGCGCGCGCAAAGGCGCCCCTGCGATTCCGACGCGCGCGCGAGAGGCCCGCGCGGTAGCGCGCGATGGAAATGTTGAAAGCATTTGGTTTTCTGAAGAGTTCGCGGGGACGCGGGCGCAGGCTTTCCGCGGGCACCCCCTTTTGCGAAACCATGTGTTGTCATATCTTTTCGGGGCGCTCGATTTTGAAAACCTCGCGTGCCGCGGGCTTTCTTGGGTTCCGGCGCGCGCTCGCGACGGCGCGCGCGCGCCCTTCGCCCCATTTGTTGCAGCGGGTGATTGCGACGGCGAGGGCGCTCTTGCGAGTCCGTCATGCCCGCGCAAGAGGCCCGCGCGGTGGCGCGTCGTGAACGCGCTGAAATCAAGATATGGCTTCCTGCATTCGCAGGGGTGCGGGCGCTGGCCTTTCTTGAAAATCCCCGTTGCGAGACCATGCGTGGTTCGCGTCTTTTCGGGGCGCTCGACGTTGGAACCCCTTCGGAACCTGGAGCTTCATTCCAGAATTTCGCTGCGCGCTCGCGACGGCGCGCGCGCGTGCACCTCGCCCCATTTTGGCCGGGGGATTCTTGGAAATTTATCAGTTTTGACACGCGGGCGCGCGCGTCGCGGAGGGCGGGGGGGCGGTCTATCTGGGGCGATCTGAGTTCGCCGCGCGCAACTTGCAACGTGGAAAGGAGGTTCGTTGAGTCCGGCGGGGGGGTGGGCGGGGTAGATCCGAGCGCTCTGGTGGAAAGGGGAATTTGCGCCGTGCAATATGCGTTGCGCGCTGTCGGTGGCGGGGTGGATTTTAACGAGCGAGTTGGCAAATTGCATTCCCCCGCAAACTTCCCGCGCGCCCGCCTGCGACTTGGTCTTTGAAGCCCGCGCGGCGGCGATTGCGATGAGCGGCGTTGGCCGGCGCGTCTCCGCGGCCGCGCATGTGCGCGCGCGAAGCGGCTGGCCAGTTTAACGCGACCGACGCGGCCGCGGTGGCACTGGCCGTGGCCGTTTCCCAGCGGGCGTTCCAGCGCGAGTCGGCGACTTGGGCTGGCGCGGCACCGCGGCGACGCCGACGACGGTGGACGCGATAATGAGAGCAGCGACGGCAAAGGAGGCGACGACGACGACGACGACAAGACCAACGACGGCG